GCCTGGCCATTTGGAGAGCAGCATCTGGTTGATAAGTCTGTTGGAGAGGAGGGGGAGAAACTTGTGCTTGAAGGTACTTCTGGATAATGTCAACATAAGGACAAAAAGCTGATTTTCTGTCGAAGGAATTAAAATGAGTAGTGAGTCCTACTTCAAACCTCCCTATAATTTAATTTCATTCAATCTGATAGAATTCCTGCTATGGTTAGCTTTGCTCATATGATTGTTACCTGTGAGTCTGGAATCTCCTGGGTAAGCTAGGAAGGGTGAGTTCTTTCAGTGTACGCTAAGGAGGTCACTGCTTATATTTTATGGCATGGGCCTAAATTCTGACTTTGTCAGTTTGCAAAATTAATTGTTTTTTCTTAAAGTGACAAAGTGTTTTCTATCAGACTTGCTTCCTCCGGAATATAGAATGTCTTGTCTATTTTTGCCTCTTCAAACAGTAGGGTATAAAGTGGTGTGTACAGAGGAGACTTGAACCATTATAGCATGGAGACAAAATTTGTTCAAGTTTGTTTCTTTACCTATTAAAAAAAAAAATTAGGATCTTTTTTTAAATTTTGTATTGTTCATATTTGAAGCGATAAACCTAGAATGTACCTGGCTTTTTATTCTTATTTTATAACCTGGTTCATCAGGTTGTGCGTTCCTGGTCTTCTAAAGAATGTATTTCTGACGGAGACTTGGTAAACAGCTACATTTATTTTACAGCAGGCATTTGTGAGAGAGTAACCTTTGGTGTTTCTTATTGAACTGGAGTCTTGCACGTTTTGATGTTTTACATAACTCTTCTCCCATTGGTTTCAACTTGCACATTTGAAAATCCCATTCAAAGTGAATGTTTATGGAAGTCTTGGAATAAGGGAGTAATAAATTTCGCCTTTGTCTTCTCCACACAAATATTCCCTTCCTTTGTCTTTCCTCTTTCCACCTGCCTTCCCAGATCCTTTTTGTTTCTAGTTTGAAAAATATATTTTACATTAATTAGCTTCTCATTAAATGATTATCTGAATAAAGAAATTTCCCGTTGGTTAATAACACTTGACATGCTTTACTTGTGGTTTTTATTTACTAGTGAGTTGTTTTACAGAGGTACTGAAAGTAATTGCGACCCTGCTACGTAACTCTCCCCAATGTCCGGAAACCCTGGAGGTCCGTAGAGCCTTTCTCTCGGACATGATTAAACTTTTTAATAACAGCAGAGAAAACAGGAGGTAAGATGGTTCAGCATGTGCATAACAAATATGACATGTAAATAATGGTGTACTACAAAACTGGCTTCTATTAATAATTAGAAGGAAGCTAAAATAGACTTATTCAGCAGTTATGTCCGTATCTCTTGCAGCTTAAGAAATTGCTGTACTCTATTAGGCTTCTACATTTAATGCTAGAGAAACTTTTATATTGAACTGTTTTTACATTTGCTAAATTCCTCACCTGCTGATATGTAATCCTTAAAACTTTAGCTAAGTTCATATGTTTTAATATGTTTGCACACCTCTGAGATCTGATTTGAACAGCCCATGCATGCATTTTGCAGGAGTTTGCTGCAGTGCTCGGTGTGGCAGGAGTGGATGCTTTCCCTTTGCTATTTTAATCCTAAGAACTCTGAAGAGCTGAAGATAACTGAAATGGTG